CTTGCACTGCAGACATTTGAACTCTTTCTATTTAACCACTCTCGTTACAAGTAACCATCCTTGTTTTTGTGCCAGCTGCATATCCAGGATTCATTATGTTCTCAAGAGACTCAGAGGTCTCTGAAGGTTATTTCAACCTTTCGCTCTCCACAATTCGACAGCCCACCTTAGCCTGAATGGACCTTAAAGTGGCCGAGAGGCCCACAGCCAGGCAGGTGAGTGACCCCTCACCTTTGTCTTGCATCTCCATACAAGGGTACCCATACACAGAGCAACACTCTGATCTGCCAAGCATGGAGACAGAAACATCTCATCCTACTGTTTTGAAATGCATGCTTAAGAATTTTTGGAAAAGGTTTTACTGGAAATTATGGTATTAAGATGAAACCACAGAAACTTAGAACTTTTGTGAGGTAGAATGGCACACACTTGGGCCAGATTGGCCAACTGAGAGATTCCTAGATGAGGGTCTCCTCTGGACCATCTGGCTCACAGTCACCCACCCCCACCCCCACCCCACCCCCGTGGACTGGAACATACAGATCAATTTCCCTATACTGATTTATGGCTCAAATTGTGCCACAGCATGCCTCCTTGGCTTCATATGTTTGCCATGGAAGCAAAAAAACAATATCCTGGTCCTCTGTCAGAAAGGGGACGATGCTGGAAAGAAACTGGTCCTTTCAGATCTGGACTGAGAGAATTTAGACTTTCCCCCTCCTTTTGTGTTGCTAAATTCACAGGTTTGGAGAAGGTGGGGAGAAAAGCATGAGAAGTGCTTGACTTCAGTGCACCAGAGGGTGCCTGCTGTGCTCAGACTCAGAGAGGATCGAATAGGGCTTGCACTCAAGTTTGAAAAAAGAATTGAAAACAGAAAATAAGTAATGGATTAAAACAGCTAAAGAAGCTCTGAATGATGTAAAACAAAGCCAGAGAAATCAAGTTACAAATTTTAACTGATTGATAAATGTATCTGTGTTTCAATTTGACTTGATGTTTAACTGGTATGCTGAAAATATTTCTTGTACATCACAAATTCTTCAATTGTAATTATAGGGTAAACTTGCTCTTTTCTGTACTTTGTTGATAGAAAACTCAAGGTCACTACCATTGTATTGGCAGCCAACCAAATTAGAAGTGTAACAATCTGAGAACAAACAATGGACACTTTACAATTTTAACAGCTAAAGACAAGTTTGTGACAAAAGGTCTATAGTAGTGACATAAAAAATATTAAAAAGCTATAAGTAAAAGACAAGCAATTTGGATGTAAAAAGTTTTTGTATGTTTGTCTTGCTAGAAAGATAAAAGAGATATGCAAGACCAGAAGGTTTACTTATGTCAAAAGATGTGCGAAAGTGATTTATCAAAAAATATGTGTGCTTGTTTGTTGGTTTCAAGTTTGTTATAAAAAGTTTCAATATGTTTATATTGGTTGTCATCAAAGGGTTAAATTCTAAGCATGTTACTAGTATGTGTACATCGGTCATCTTCAAAGAGTTTAAGAGCCAACAGGTTACAATATGAACTCCTCCTTTACAGTGATTTAGAAAGACTGTTGGGAAAAGGCACAAATGTGTCAGACCAAGGTGCCATATTTGAGATTTGACTTAAAAAAGGACAAAAAGAGGCTAGGTCCAGAGAAAAGGAAAGTCATTTATTCTCTGCCAAGATCCCTCCAAAATGCTTCAATTATTTGATTTCATCTTTGCTACCCATTGCCCTAATTGGGAGGAGTGTAAAAAACTTTATAAAACTTTGTTAACCTCTAAAGAAATACAGAGAGTTTTAGGAAAAATTAGAAAGATTAATGCCAGTAGAATGCCAGGTGATTTACAGAATCCAGATGCTTGATATGAACAGCAGTTTCTAGTAAACATGTGACCCTATTGGAATCCCAATACCCCAGTAGGCCAGGAGAGCTTAAGAAATTATCAGACAGCCCTTCTGGCAGGGATATGAGCTGCTAGTAAAAGACCTACAAACATGGTTGAAGTGTCAGAGACTCAGCAGGAGCCTGACGAGAGCCCTGAGAAATTTTACAAGCATCTGTGTGAGGTCTGTAGAATAAACACACCATTTGACCCTGCTGTTCCAGATAACCATCGGTTAGTCAATACGACCTTTCATACTCAGTCAGCTCGAGACATTAGAAGGAAAATACAGAAGCAAGAGACTTGGGAAGGCATGAATATAACACAATTCTTGCAATTAGCTAGGAAAGTGTACGTGAACAGAGAGTCAGTGAGAGAGAGAGAGAGCAAGGAGGGAAGACGGGCTAGATAAGAGGAGGGCCAGATACATAGCAGTGGCTATGGGAGCCAAGGAAGAGAAAGAGAAAGAAAGACAGGGAATGAAACCAGAGGGAAAGCAGAAGAAAGCCTTTGGGCATGAAGACTTAGAGTTTGACCAGTGTGCGTATTGTAAAGAGAAAGGACATTGTAAGAATAAGTGCCCAAGGCTCAAGGAAAAGAAGAAGCAGGACTTGAAGGAAAAAAAAGGATCCTGGCGCATTGTTGCCTGTGATGGAAGACACTGACTGACACAGACCAGGCTCAATGCAGCTAGGCCCCCACGAGCCCATGGTCGATGTCCAGATAGGGGGCCAGATCATGTCCTTCATGGTGGACAGTGGCACAGAACATTCAGTAGTAACAGCTCCAGTCGCCCTCTGAGCAGAAAGCGCATCCAAGTGATCAGTGCCACTGGAATTTCAGAAAAGTGTCAGTTCTGCTATGAAAGGACATGTGAAATTGGAGGACATAAAGTAAAACATGAAATCTTGTGTATGCCAGAATGTCCTATCCCCTTACGAGGAAGACATTTAGTATCCAAATTGGGAGCTACAGTAACTTTCACCCAATGAGGAAATGCATCTCAGCATTTAGACCCAGGAAGAGATCTCATCATGATGGTAACTACTACAAGGGAGGAACAATGGCAATGTTACAATGTGAATGATGTTTGCCAGGCTGCAGAAGAATTAAACACTATGTTTCCTGGAGTATGGGCAGAGGAACTGCCCCCAGGCTTAGCTAAGAATCATCCACCCATAGATATAAAATTAAAAGACAATTCTGCCCCCATGGCTGTAAAACAATATCCGAAGTCCAGGCAAGCCTTAAGTGGAATCAGGCCCCATATCTTGAGATTAAAGGAACTTGGACTTATAAGAGAATGTAAGTCACCTTGGAACACCCCTTTGCTGCCGGTTCGAAAACCTGATGGGGACTATAGGCCAGTGCAAGATCTACGGGCTGTAAGTGACAGAACACTAACACTGCACGCAGTGGTCCCTAACCCTTATACTTTGTTGGGTCTGATACCCCCAGAGGCAGCATGGTTTACTTGTTTGGACTTAAAAGATGCCTTCTTTGGCCTTCTCATCACTCCCTTTTACAAATCATCTTTGCATTTGAATGGGAGGACCCAAGTGATGGGAAAAAGACTCAGTTTACTTGGACCAGATTGTCACAGGGATTTAAAACTCACCCATGCTTTTCAGGGAAGCCCTAGCCAAGGACTTGCTTGCCTTCCCCACAGAATAATATAGCTGTGTCCTGCTGCAGTATGTGGATGATTTAGTGTTATGCAGCCCAACGTAAGAACAGTGCTTGAAAGGCACCAAAAAGTTGTTGCTGCACTTCCAAGAAACTGGATATAAGGAATCCTGGAAGAACACCCAGATTTGTGTACAGCATGTTAAATATTTAGGATTTCAAATAACACAGGGCATGCATTGCCTAGGAAATGAAAGGTTATTAGTGCCATCCCCAAATGCCAAAGATCCAGCTGAGAGAGTTTCTTGAGGCGGCAGGCTTCTGTAGAATTTAGATTCCGGGTTTTGCAGAAATCTCTAAACTCCTTTATGAAGCCCTAAAGAGGAAAATCATCTGCATTGGACTGTAGAACAGGAGGAAGCTTTTAAGAAATTAAAATTGACTTAGGCAGCTGCTCCAGCCCTAGGCATACCAGATGTAAAGTGGCCATTTACTCTATATGTGACTGAGAAAAACCATGTGGCCTTTGGAGTGTTGACCCAAGAAGTAGGCCCATGGAATCAACTGGTGGCACATTTGTCTAAGAATTTACATCTAGTAGCAAAAGGATGGCCTCATTGTCTTTGGGTCTTAGCAACTTCAGTTCTGTTGATTCAAGAAACAGACAAGCTGATTTTAGGTCAGGAAATGACTGTGCAGGTTCCACATGCAGTCCTAGAGCTGCTGAACACATGGGAGCATCATTGGCTCTCAAATAATTGGGTTACTCAGTATCAAGCGCTTCTCTGTGAGAACCTCCACTTACGGTTTATTCTTATAAAAACTTTAAATCCTGCTGCTACCTTTTTGCCCACAGAGACAGGCCCTCCTGATCATGACTGCTTGAGTGTCACCAATGAGCTCTTTTCCAGCCGCCCTGACTTGCAAATGGCACCCTTGTTTGATGCTGACCACTGATACGAGCAGCTTTGTGGAAGATGGGGTTCGTCATGCTGGATATACAGTAACCACAAAGGATGAGGTGATCCTAGCCGGGGCCCCTTCCTTTTGGCTGGTCGGCACAATAAGCTAAGCTCTGGGTACTCATACAGACATTCCAATGGGCAAAGGGTAAAAAGGTAAATATATATACAGACTCTCAATATGCATTTGCTCCATGGCATGATTCATCAAGAGTGAGGTCTTCTCACAGCAGAAGGGAAGCAAATCAGTGCTGGGGATTTAGCTCAGTGGTTCCAACACCTGCCTCAAAACTGCAAGGACCCAAGTTCCATCCCCGGTACCAAACCAAACCAAACAAACAAACAAACAAAAAAAAACAAAAGAAGGGACGTAAATCAAAAATAGACTGGAAATTGTACAGTTGCTAGAGGCAGTGTGGGAACCTAGCAAAGTCATAGTAATACATTGTTCAGGACATCAGAAAGACAAAATCTTCATTACACATGGTAACAATAAAGCTGATGTTGAAAGTCAAGAAAGACAACGTACTCAAATCCCTGCTCTCATCACTCTGGAAGCTGGTGAATCAATGCATGGTTGAAGAATGAGAATACTGGGAAAAGCAGCATGAACTCTTGTGCTATGCCAGATCACTACTGCTCTGAGTTTCTTTGTTTTCAAACTGTGGATGTTTAAGCCTAGTGACAAAAAATGTGATGTACAATACATAACTTTTAAAATGGTAAAATGAATCAATATCCTTTTTTGGTACTCTTTGATGCCTGCCCAAAGGAGCGCCCGCCCGAGAGGCACCTGCAGCTCGTGGCTGAGGCAGCCACAGACGTGGGAAGAGAGGCCCAGCGTGTCCAAGGCCGTGCGGGCGAACTCGTCGGCACTCTTCACCAGCAGCCCGGTTGAGTTGTTGTTGATCATGTTTGTGGAGACAAACGAGGGTCTCACCGTCTGCAGGACAGGACGGAAGGGGTCCAAGAAACAATGTTGTGCCTCTGTTAAGACCCACCCACCTCCCCTGTCTAGCTGAGTGTCCAAGACCCCAAGACCTAGACCCGGCCCCCAGATAGAGCCCTGCCCTAGACCCCGCCTCCAAGGCCAAGGCCACGCCCAGTCTGGACCCCGCCCCCAGATGGCGATGGCCCAGCGGCCTAGACCCTGCCCCTAAAGCCAAGGTCACAACCCAAGCCCGTGACCCACCCCCAGGTGTAGTTCCCACCCCTAAGGCACCATCCCAGCCTAGAGTGAGACCACAACCCCATGGATCCCCATTAAGCCACTGATCTTTAAGTCACCAGACTCTCTTCCTTCTCCTCCAGAGCTGCTACCCCAGCCACATCCTTTGAGCCCTCCACCCGCCCCCAGTCGGGCACCTGGATGGTGACACCGTGAGGGGAGTACTCTGCGCCCACAGCCTCGGAGAAGCGCTGCACAAAGGCCTGCAGAGGAAGGAGAGGAGGTCCCGGGAGTGAGGCCCTGATCCCCAGGCCAGGTACTGTTGTTCCCCTTGTCCCACCCCCATTCAGCGCTTTCCCACCATGAGCTCCCAGCCAGGACACAGGGAGAGGGAGGACTCTGGCTCAGCAGGGCGCCCCCCTGTGGAGTTTGGGGGTCCGGGTACCTTAGTGGCTGAGTATAAGCCTTGAGACGGGATGACCCTTTCGCTGGCTATGGAGGACACGTTGACGATGACCCCTCTGCCCCTGGTGGAGGGAACCGTGTTGGAAGGTGGTCGCTGCCCAGAGGGATAAAGGGGCGGGGTGCTTGTCCCCACCCATCCTTAGCCGGAGCCCTAATCTGAAAGGCCTGGGGAGAGTGGGGACTGGGACCTGGCATGGTGGTGCATGCCCAAAATCCCAGGAGCCCGGAGGCTGAGTCAGGAGGGTCACGAGTTGGAGGTCAGCTCAGGCTGACACACACACAAAAAGACTTGGAAGCGGGGCGGGGCTGGAGAAAGGGGAAAGCCTGGAGGCTGGGGGCATCGATGACAGAGCGGCTGAGGGGCTCTCACCTGCTGACCATCTGGGGCAGGACGATCCCGGTCATCTGCAGGCAGAGGAGGTGCCCATGTCCCCTGGCCTCCTCATCGAGGGGCTCTCACTGCCCCTCAGGGCCTGTCCCGGGCCCCCCGCCCTGCAGGATGGGGACGCTCCAGGGTGGTCACAGCTGGGCTGCACCTGGACCCGGCCCTCCCCGCCCACTGACCTGAGCCGCCGACATCGTGTTGCAGTTGATAACATCCGAGATGCTCTGGGGACGGAAATGGAACCGGCCACTCCCTCGCTCCCCAGCCTCATCACACCAGCCGCATCTTCTCATTTCCTACCTTAATTTTTTTCTTATTTTAACAATTCACACATTTGGGGACAAATGGTTCCCACTAGAATTTAAAGCACACCGTCCTTTGACCATCAACTGCACTTGTAGCAACATGCGCCTTTCCAAGATTCTCACACACAAGATGCTCAAAGCTATTTGTTGCCAGGCCAGTGAGGTGCTTCGGGCCTGTGATCCCAGCGACTTGGTAGGCTGAGGCAGGAGGAGGATCACAAGTCTGAGGCCAGCCTGGGCAACAGAGTGGTTTTAGCGAAATCCTGTCTCAAATAAAAGGGGCTGGAGATGCCGCTCAGTGATAGAGGGCCCCTGGGTTCAGTCTCCAGTACCAGGGGAAAAAAAGTAGAATGTACACACAGCAATGTGGATAAATCTTTAGTATAAACAAATGAACACATGCCAGGCATGGTTGTACATTCCTGTAATCCCAGCATTTGGGAGGCTGAAGCAGGAGGATCCCCACGAGTTCAAACCCAGCCTGGGCTATGTAGTGAGACTCTGTCTCAAAAAAAACAACAACAAAAAAGATAAAACACTCAAAAAAACCAAAAACTAATCTTGAACCTCCACCCTTAAGAAGAAATGAAGTCTTGACAGTGTGCTGGATATGTACCCCCTTGCCATCAGCACCAGGTGACCCCTATCCTGACTCTAACACTGACAGAATCATTCAGCAGGCCTGAACTTAGTCAGGTAAGTGGGACACTGGAGTCCACATCCCTTCATCTTGGGCTTCCGGGCTTAGCGTTTGTGAGACTCTTCCCCTGAGGGTGACAGAAGGTCATCTGTGTTCACTGCTAGAATCCTCCATTGTGTCAACTCAGCACACTTCATCACCCAGTCAGCCTCGGATGGGCATCTAGGTTGTATCTGTGTTGATACTGTAAGAAATAATTTACTAGGCACACTCGCCGGGCTGTTGGTGGACACTACTCTCATGCACAATGCAAGGGAAAGGAAAGGATCACGTGGTAGGCAATTGCAGTAAGTGTGTGTGTGTGTGTGTGTGTGTGTGTGTGTGTGTTACTGGAGATTCAATCCAGGGCCTTCTCACTGAACTACATCCCCAGCTCTTCTGTTTTTGGGTTTTTTTGTTTTGGTACTGGGGATCAAACTCGATCCCTTGCACTTGCAAGGCAAGTGGTAGAACCAACGTTCCAAATCCCCAGCCCCCAGCTCTGTTTTATGTTTAAATTTAACAATTTTGAAACAGGGTCTCACTATGTCACTAAGTTGCCCAGCCTGGGTTTCTAACTTTCAATCCTCCGGCCTCAGCCTCCCAGAGTGCTGGAATTACAGCCATGGGCCACCTTACCCACATAAAATTAAAAATTTTCACCATCCATGGTGGTGCACATCTATTTTCCCAGCCCCCATGATGCTGAAGCAGGAGGATTACATAGAGTTCAAGACCAGCCTGGGCTACATACCAAGACCCTGTCTCAAAAAAGAAAATTAAAACTTTTATACATTAAAGGATACTACCAACAGAGAGAAAGGCAACCCCAAATGGTAGAAAATATTTGGAAATCATATATCTGATAAGGAAGGAATTTCTAGAATATATAAGGAACTCCTCTACCTCTCAAACAATGAATAAGTCATACAAGAAATCCCAGGGAAATTAGAAAACACTTCGAGAACCCCCAAAATAAACTAAAATGAGTGCACCACAGAGGAGTACTTATGAGATCCAGAAACAGCCCTGCTAAGGGGGAAATGTATAGCTGCAAGTGCATTAGAGAAAAAGGAACGGTTAAAATCAACAGCTCTTCAACTAATGGAAATAGGCACACTAAACCCAAAGCTAACACAAGGTCACAAGACTAAAACAGAAACTAGCAAAATAACAGAGACAGGCCACAAAACAAAACAAAACAAAACAAAAAACATGGTTCTTTGACCAAAAAAAGAGACTGAAATTATGAAAATCAGAAATGAGTGCCAGGCGTGATGGTGCACAGCTGTAATCTCAGCACTTGGGAAGCTGAGGCAGGAGGACAGCTGCAATCTCCAGGCCCGCCTTTGGACTACACAGTGAGATCCTGTCTCAAAATCAAACCAAACCAAACCAAACCCTCCATACAAGGAAAAAGCCATGGACCAGACAGCTTCTCTGGTGATCTGTACCAAACATTTAAAGTAGTAAGAATCCTCAAACTCTTCTAAAACCTAAAGAAAGAGGGAACAGGGCTGAGGATTTAGCTCAGTGGTGCTCTGCCTGCCTTGCAAACACAATGTCCTGAGTTCATTCCACAGTACAAAAAAATAAAAAAATAAAAAAAAAATAAAGAAAAAGAAAAAGAAAAAGGGAACATTGCCTCCCTTACTCTATTTCTGCTCTCATACTGGAGCCAAAGACACTATAAGAAAAGTACAGACCTATATCCTATATGAACAGTTATGCAAACATCCTAAAATAAAAAAAGTAGTAGCAAACCAAACTGAGCAGCATATTGAAAGGATTATCCACTACTCCCAAGGGGGATTTAGTCCTGGAATGCAAAGATGGTTCAAAGTTCAAAACTCAATTTATGATACATATTACCAGAAAGAAGGGAAAAGACACAATTATCTCAAGTGACCTGGAAAAAGCCTTTAGAAAAGGTAACAGTCTTTGATGATAAAAACATTCAGCAAACTAGAAATAGAAAGAAACTATTTCAACATAATTGAGCCCTTGTATGAGAAGCTACCACCTGAGTCATACTCAATGTTGACGGACTGAAGGCATTGGAAGCCCAAGCCAGAGAACTCATGCTCAAAAGGCACTGAAACTGGAAAAGAAGTGCAGTTATCTCTGTTCATAGATGCTAACATGTTCGGTGCCGAAAACCCTTAAAAACACACACACAAACAAATTTTTAGAACTAATACAAGAATTCTCAAAATAGCAAAATATACAATCTACACAAGAAAGTCAGTGGCAGAGCTCTTATCCCTGGGCTCCACCCCCCATTGCCACAAAACACAAACAGAATCCGTGTGCTGCTGTACACCAGCCACGGACAGTCAGGAAAGGGAGCTAAGACAACAATTTCATTTACACTAGTGAAACAAAAAAGAAGGAAAGAAAGAAAAAGAAGAAGTTAGTCAAGGAGGTGAAAGACTTGCATGGCTAAAAAACTAGAAATCATTGCTAAAAGATATTAATGGAGACTGAAATAAATGGCAAGACATCCTATTTTTTTGAGTTGGAAGTTTTCATTTTGTTAAGATGCCAGTTGTACCTCCATTGATCTACACTTCAGTTGCTAGCAAAACTCAAAGGACCCAGAATTGACAGACTAAACATGAAATAGAAGAATAAGATTGGGGAACTCAGTATTGGGGTTTCAAAATTTACTACAAAGCAGCCAGATGTGATGGCACACACCTATAATCCTGGCCTTCTGGGAGGCTGAGGCAGGAGGATTGCAGGTTCAAGACTAGCCTGAGGACTTAGTGACTTAGAGACCCTGTCTCAAAATTTTAAAAAGGACTGGGGATGGAGCTTAGAACAAAGGCATTGGGTTCGACCCCCAGTAATAGATACACACACACACACAAAAAAAAAAAGAAAGAAAGAAAGAAAGGAACACTAGGAGCCCAACGTCAGCAGCACACAATGGTGCTCGCCTGAAGCAGACAAGAACAGAGCCTAGAATTAAGACCTGCACATGATTTTTAAGGGCACCAGGATCACTCATTAGGGAGGGGACAGCCTTTTCAATCAGCGGTGCTGGGAAAGCTGGATATTCACATGAAAACAATTGACGTTGCCAGGGATTTAGCTCAGTGGTTCCACCACCTGCCTTGCAAGTGCAAGGTCCCAAGTTCGATTCCCGGTACCAAAAAGAAAACAATGAAAAAAGAAATGACACTGTGCCCTTGATCAACAATACCCCAAAGCTGGGCATGGTGGCACACACCTGTGATCCCAGCACTCTCAGGTGGCTGAGGCAGGAGGATCACAGTGAGTTCAAGGCCAGTCTGAACTACATAGGGAGACCTCGTCTCAAAAAAAAAAAAAATCCACAAATAAAGCCAGGCCAAGTGATGCACATCTGCAATCCCAGCTACTCAGGAAGCTAAGGCACAAGAAGGATCATAAAGTTCAAGGCCAATCTGGACAACTTAGCCAGACACACACACGCACACACACACGCACACACACACGCACACACACACACTCACACTACTAATAATAAAAATTTAGAGAATCCACATTGTCTACAGGGCAGCGCTGGTTCTCCCGTGTGGGTAATTCTTTACACTTAGGACCAGGCAATATGAAAGGTGAGAACCGGGCTCAACCCACACAGCTGTGCAGGTTGGGCACTGCAAAAGGGTGCGTCATTCAAGGACAGAGACTTGTGGTTGTTTTAAACAATTTTCCAGCCAAAGGCAAAGAGCACCTTGCTCTCCGGACGCCGGTGCATTCTTCGGCCTGCCCCACAGAGGGCACGAGAGCGCCGCGAGCGGCCGGGGACTCACCTGGCCCACATTCTTGGTGTCCAGAAACTTCCGCAAGTTCGAGCCGGACAGCAGGCCGCCATACAACATGCCCACATTGTTCACTGCGCAAGAGGTCGCACGGTGTCCCTCACAGGGCCAGGGACACTGGGTAGGGGACAGGGAGGGGACTCAGTGCAGCAAGCGGGCGACTCACCCAGCACTCCGATCTCCAGGCCCCGCAGTCCTGCCTCGATGGCACCGTAGATCTCCAAGCCCCCGGTGAAATCGGCCTGGATGACGCGCGTGGACCTGCCGTGGAGCCGCTCTGGAGGACGGAGGGGGATCAGGCTTTGGCCCCGCCCCCGCCCCCGGCCCCAGCTCACTTAGCAGCAGCCTCAGGCCATCAGCTGCCCTAGACCCCTGCCCAGGGCTGGGCGGAGCTTCTGCACGCGCACTCACCGATCTCCCCGCCTCATGCTCCAACTTCCTGAGGCTTCGACTGATGAGCACGATGTTCAGCCCCCTCCTGGCCAGCTGCGGAAATTCATTCACTTCCTCAGTACCCCCGCTGCCCCTCGCCAGGTACTGAGGATTGAACCTAGGGCCTTCGCACTGGGCTGCTTTGCCAGCCTTTTCAAATCTTTTTCAGACAGATTCCTCCTCAGGAAAGAAAAGCCGAGTGTGGTGTGCATACCTGTGATCCTAGCACTCAGGAGGCTGAGGCAAGAGGATTGCCATAAGTTCAAGGCCAGCCTGGACTACATAGTTCATAGTTCAGGACCAGTCTAAACTACATAGCAAGATCCTGTCAGAAAGAAAGAAAGAAAGAAAGAAAGAAAGAAAGAAAGAAAGAAAGAAAGCAAGCAAGCAAGCCAGTCAAATCAATGTAATTACAACAGACACCACCAAAATCCAGAACATTATTAGCCAGTACTTCACAAACCCCAATAAATTGGGGAATTCAAGGCGGGAGATTTAGCTCAGTGGCACTGTGTCTGCCTTGCAAGCACAAGGTCCTGAGTTCAATCCCCAATCCAAACAAAAACCCAAACTTTGGGGAATTCAGAAGGAATGCATTGATTCTTAGAGACATATGAATTACCAAAACTGAATAAGGTTTAAAAACCATGAATAATTCAGCAACAGGCAATGAAATCTAAGCAGTAATAAAAAACCTACCAACTAAGAGAAGCCCAGGTCCCAATGGATGCATTGTCAAATTCTCCAAGCACTTCAGGAGAGATCTAACACCAGTACTTCCCAAATTCTAATGAAATTGAAAGGGAAGGAGCCCTCCCAAAGTCATTCCTGGAAGCCAGCACTATCCTGATTCCAAACCCAGACAAGGATCCAACCAAAAAAAGAGAACTACAGATCAATCTCTTTAATGAACATAGATGCAAAAATCATCAACAAGATGCTGGTTAATAGAATGCAACATATCTAAAAGATCATATGTCATGACCAGCAATGCAAGGATGGTTCACCATACGGAAATCAGAAACAAGACAAGGATGTCCACTGTCACCACTGCTATCCAATATTGTCCTCAAAATATTACTCAGAGCAACACTGTCTTTTTGCCAAGAGGCAAAAAAACAAACAAGATACATATAGGAAAGAAGTCAGATGATCATTATGTGCAGATGACATGATCCACTGCATAGAATACCCCAAAAAAATTTCCACCAAAGGACTCATAGAAGTCATACCCAATTTCAGCAATGTAGAAGGATACAAAATCAACATACAGGAGCTGGGCATGGTGGCACACACTTGTAATCCCAGCACTCAGGTGGCTGAGGCAGGAAGATTCCTGTGAGTTGCTGGCCAGCCTGGGCTACATAGTGAGTTCAAATTCAGCCTAGACAATATAGTGAGACACTGTCACAAACAAACAAACAAATCAACACAGAAATAAAATGTTCCTATATCACAATAATGAACTCATTCAGAAAGAATTTAGGAAAAGAATACCATTCACAATAGCATCAAGACAAATAAACATTAAGGAGTTAACTAAGGAAGTGAAAGACCTCTACAATGAAAACTATAACATTTATCCAGGCACAGTGGCATACACCCATAATCCCAGCACTCAGGAGGCTGAGGCATGAGGATTGCTTTGAGTTCAAGGGCAGCCTGAACTACATACCAAGACCATATCTCAACTCCCTCTACTCCCCACAAAAAGAAAAAAGAAAAAAGAAAACCACAGTATTCTGAAAAAGGAGACCTAAGAGGGCATCAGAAAATGGGAAGATATCCTCTATTCCTGGAGAGGCAGACCAGTATTGTAAAAACAGCCATATTTCCAAAACTGATATACAGATTTAACGTGAAACAACTCCAGACCTACTCAGTCACCTCCTCTTTGACAACAGAGCCAATCACCCCCATTGGAGGAGAGATAGCCTATTTAATAAATGGTGTTGGAAAAACTGGATTTCAACCTGTCAGAGATTAAAACTAGACCCATACCTATCACTGCACACCAAACTAAGATCAGCCATTTGATCTTTGACAAAGGAGTCAAAGCATACACGGAGGAAAGACAGCCTCTTTAATAAGAGGTGTGGGGAAACTGGCTTTCCCCATGCCAGTGTCTAGACCCATGTCTCTCACCATGTACTAAACTAAAAATGAATCAAAGATCTAAATGTTAAAACAGGTACACTTAATGAGCTAGAAGATAAAATAGGCAGAATCCTTGAAGACAGGCTTAGGCAAGGACTTTCTGAACAGAAGTTCAGAGGCACAAGAAATAGCATCAAGAATCAACAAAAGGGATTATAGCAAATTAAAAAGCTGCATAGCAAAGGAAGCAACCAACGGTGAAGAGACAACCTACAGAATGGGAAAAATTTTGCCAGCTGTTCCTCTGACAGAGGAGTAATATCTAGATGTATAAAGAACTCAAAATTAGACCCCCACAATAAAAGATCCAGTCAAAAATGGGCAGCTGAAATGCAAGGACATCTCCCAGGAGTCAAAATGGCCATCTTCAGAGAGAATGACTAGCATCAAGAAATCAAATAACAGGGCTGAGGATTTAGCTCAGTGGTTCTGCCTCCTGCCTTGCAAGTGCAAGGATCCGAGTTCGATCACCAGTACCAAAAATAAAAACAAAACAAGAATGCAGTCCCTTCCCTTAACAACAACAAAAAAAGGGACTTAAACTTCAAAAAAAAAAATAATTGCCTGAATTAAATTTTGGGCCAGGAATTTAGCTAAGTGGTTCCGTCACCTGCCCTGCAAGCACAAGGAGCTGAGTTCAATTCCCGGTACCAAAAAAAAAAAAAAAAAGAATTGCCTGAAGAAATCAAATAACAGATGCTTGTGAGGCTGGGGGGAAAAAAGAACCCTTCTATATTGTTGTTGGGAATGTAAATGAATACAGCCACTGTGGAAATCAGTGTGGAGAGTCCTAAAAACAAATATTAAAATTAGAAATTCCTTTCTAGGGTCTGGGGATTTAGCTCAGTGGTTCTACTGCCTGCTTTGCAAGTGCAAGGCCCCAAGTTCAATCCCTGGTACCAAAAAAAAAAAATCCTTTCAACTCATCTATTCTCATAGGGATCTTCCCAAAAAAGTTAAAGACATGTTATTACAGTGATACATGTGTATCTATGTTTATAGTGGCACAATTCCTATTAGCTAAACCTTGGGAACAACCCATCAACAGATGAATGGATAAAGAGAATGTGGTATTTATGCACAAAGGAGTACTACTCTGCCACAAAAAAGGATAAACCTGAGTCATCTGAAGGAAAATGGATGCACCTCATACTGTTCAATGAAATAAATCATACACAAGCTTAAATATTGCATGGGTTTTCTTATATGAGAAATCCAAAATATTAATAAAAAGCAAAATAAAAGATAATGAGAACTAGTGAGATTTTTTTTTCAAGTGGTAAGGGGATCAAGAAATGGAGGGAGGGGCCGGGGATTGAGCTCAGTGGTACCACCGCCTGCCTCACAAGCACAAGGTCCTGAGTTCAATCCCCAGTATAAAAAGAGAGAGAGAGAGAGAGTGAGAGATGGGGGCAGATGGGCAAGAAAGGGGGATTTAAACTAGCTGAGGGGTGTTATGTACACATACCCACCACACATCACCACTGTGATCATTATGTACACAAACATGCGCTGACTAAACAAGCCAAGCCTTCACCCTTGGGCCTTTGGGGAGAGTCACCACCCGAGCCTCAGTGCCCCAGAGAGGAGGCGGTGGGAGGGTGGCACCCAAGGGGGCAGAAGAAGTTGGGCTTCCAAGCCAGGTGAGGGTCCTGGCATCACAGGGTGAGCAGAAGCAGAGCCACCTCAGCCTCATGCTCCTGGTGAGGGGACAGAGGCTGTGCTTCTGTGATGCCCTGGCCTCTGAACAAAACCCAGCAATACTGGCTTGGGTGCAGCCCAGGCTGGTGCCCTGCCAAGGCATTCATTCCACTTGGCCAGCGCAGGATGGCAGAGGCAGGACTGTGGCCTGGTCTCACTATGTAGCCCAGGCTGGCCTTGAATTTGGGACTATCCTCCTGCTTCAGGCCCCAGTGTGCTAGGATTACAGGGGAGTGACACCACATGTGGCAATTTCATCAGGGAACGAAGTCTGGTCCTGGGCACTGGAGAAGGTAAACTATTAACTTCTGGGTAGGTCAATGTTTGCCTAGCATGGTGGAGATTTTGTTCTGTTACTGTGGAGTTAGAGCTGCCTCTTCCAAATCTCAAATTCTGAAATTTGAGAATAAGATTCTCCTTGGGGTGTCAACCAGCAAGTAGATTTTCAATGTCCTCTAATTTTTTCTCTATGTAGCTTGGATTTATGAATGTCAAAATCTGTAATTTGACTGGCATGGAAGGGGGAGCAGGTGGTGATATCCACATCCTCCTGATTATTTATGTCAGTTGATAATTTATAGATTTCATCAGGACTTATATGGAACATAGTAAGCTGGACATGGCAGTTCACCCGGGAGGCTGAGGCAGGAGGATGGCAAGTTTGAAGCAATCCTGGGCAACTTAGTGAGACCCTGTCTGAAAAAACTCCCAGTGTTTATGGTCAAAGCCAGAGTTGGAATCTGTGACTCCCCAGCTCAGGACACTGCATAACCTTTGTCACCAGCCATACTGGCATGTGCACACCTCCAAGTGCTGGATCCAGGCTAATCCAGAATGAGCTGCAGAGTGTCTGACAAAGGAAGTCTTCCGTGGCTTTGTCACCTGACCGAGGCAGTCTAGACGACTTTGTTTGTATCACAGGTGTTAATATTGAACCACCTTGTGGGGCATTTAGCTCAGTGGTTCCACCGCCTGCCTCACAAGCACAAGGCCCTGAGTTTCATTCCCAGTACCAACAAAAAAAATTGAACCACCTTATGTCCAGGAAGTTCCCTTTTAGTGGTTCTACCTGAGCATGGGACACCAGGCCCTCCATAGAAATTTATTCTGGCCTCGTAACTCACGTTGGCAGGAAGAAAACCAGTTCAGAAGCCGGTCTTGGTGTCACCTGCCTGTAAACCCAGCACTCAGGAGGTTG